CAAAGCCCGGGAGCAGGTTTCATCCGCTGGCAAGCGCCGCACCAGTCCTTTGCTTAGGGTTTGGGAGTTTAGGGTTTAGGGTTTAGGGTTTAGGGTTTAGGGTTTAGGGTTTAGGGGTCTAGAGTTGAGGGCTTAGGGTTTAGGGTTTAGGGTTTAGGGTTTAGGGTTTAGGGGTTTAGGGTTTAGGATTTGGGATTTAAGGTTGAGGGTTTAGGCCTGAGGGTAGGCTGTTTTCAAGGGACTAAACCCCTAAACCCTAAACCCTAAACCCCTAAACCCCTAAACCCTAAACCCTAAACCCTAAACCCCCAAACCCTAAACCCTAAACCCTAAACCCTACAATCCCCCCCAAAACCCCCGAAGCTGAGGGCTCGGTGAAGCACAGCGTCGGCGGAGAGCGCCAGGAAGACGCAGGGGTTTGCCTCTAGAAGCTCCTTGACAGCAAAAAAAGGTTTTGTTTAGAGGTTCCTAGAGAGGGTTTAGGGGTCTAGGGCTTAGAGTGTTTAGGGGTTTAGGGTTTAGGGGTTTAAGGGGGTTAAGGGGTTTAGGGTTTAGGTTTTTATTCTTTGAACTCCTTTTTGGGTCCGCCTGACCATACAAGCAAACTCAAGGCACATATGCACGAGGAGACTCACCGAGCAATATCGGTGAGAAAAGGCATCCCTGCGCTATTATAAGCGAAGGGCTCCTTTTCAGGTTTCTAGGAAGGGCTAGTACAAGGGTTCTTATACAGGGCCACTACAGTATTTAGTATAGGGGCCTTACTGATCAGAGTAGGGTTCCGGTAGATAAAGTATACTTTAGGGCACCAAAAAAGCACATAAGCAAAAATTAGGATAGGGATATCCCATACAAATCCCCTTATAATGAAGCCCAATAAGGCAGGGATATCCCCATAAAATGCTTATGCTTACGTCCTTTTTGGGTTCCTAATTGTTCCAGAAGCTCCTCGAAAGAGTCCGTGGTGAAGATCTTGATGCCCGGATGCCTGCTCGAGGGGGGGTTTGGGGTTCAGGGCTTTGGGCTTTGGGATTTTGGGGAAAACGTTACGGTTTGCTGTTATTGGACCAGCTTCGGGACTGGAAGTAATTTTGTTTCCCATGCCTTCGATGTAGAGTTCTGCATTATCTCTGCTTTGTCTTGACAGGCTCTGAGGAAACAGGAAGCGCAGGAGCAGAAATTGCAGCGTGGTTGTAGCAGTCATGCTTCGTTGTAAACGTCAGCAATAGTAGTCAGCCTCAGCTGTAGCAGCGGCAAGAAACACGACACTGGCTCTGCGACTGGCACTGGCGCTAGGAAGCAGGGCAGAACAGGAGCAGCAGCAGCAGCCGCCGTCGTAGTCGTAGGAGGAGCAGCAGAGGCGTGCGAGTGGTAGTAGTTTGACAGTTTAATTGTTTGAATAAATAGCAGAAGCAGCAGCTGGGGAAGCTGCAGCATACTTACCCTAAAACCCCAAACCACAACCCGAAAACCCTGAATCACCCAAAACCCTCAAACTGAGAGCCGTGTGCCTTGGGTCGCTATCTCCAGGAGGTCGGAAGGCAGAGCGTACCCGGCTGGACTTACAACGCCAGCACTGCGAGCTGCTGGCGGCGTTGCGGGTGAAGAGCCCGCTGGTCTTGCAAGTCCCATTGGCCTGGGTTCAGGGATCAGGGGTTAGGGTTGAGGGGTTTGGGTTTAGGGTTTAGGGGTTAGGGTTGAGGGTTCAGGGTTTTACGGTTTAGGGTCGTCGAGGTAAGGATGCTAAGGGTTTTAGAAATTCACGGGTAGGGTAGAGGGTAACCCCACGTGCAGGTATCATAATACCCGAAGCCCGAAATCCTAAACCCAAAGCCCCCAACCCTAAACCCCTGAACCCTAAACCCCTAAACTCTAAACCCTATAAACCCCCAAACCCTAAACCCCTGAAAACCCTGACACCGACACCATGCCCCGGACCCTAGCCCTAGACCGGCCCAGCACTCAAACCCCAAACCCCTAAACCCTAAACCCAAAGCCCAGAAACCCCTAAATCCCAAACCCCAAACTGACCCAAACCCTACTGAAAAACCTGGAAATTCTGCAAAAGCCTTCGGAAAAATGTTCCCTGAAAATGCCCGGAACCCCCCTGCCCTAAACCCTCGAAAGCCCCCTGAAAACCTGACAGAAACCCTAAACCCTGAACCCCACAAAAACCCTAAACCCTAAACCCTATCGGAACCCTAAACCCCAAACCCTAAACCCTACAGAAACCCTAAACCGCAAACCCTAAACCCTACAGAAACCCTGAAGTTCCCCAAAAGTCCTGAACCCAACAGAAATCCTAAAGTTCCCCAAAAGTCCGGAACCCTACAGAAATCCTAAAGTTCCCCCAAAAAGTCCTGAACAATACAGAAACCCTAAAGTTCCCCAAAAGTCCGGAACCCCCCTAAACCCTAAACCCTAAACCCTAAACCCCAAAAGTCCGGAACCCCAGAGAAATCCAAAAAAAACCCTAAACCCTAAACCTACAGAAATCGTAAACTCTAACAGAAACCCTAAAGTTCCCCAAAAGTCCGGAACCATGTCTGGAAGGTCCGGGGGGCGCGACAGATCCAGACTCCGAGCCTCGGCTCTCAGCAAAGACTTCGAGTGGTGTAGGGGCCTTCATAGTGGGTTAGGGTTTAGGGTTTA